TGCTTCAGTGTAATTTTGTAATGAAAAAAACTGACCAGTTTTTTTTAGTTTCTGTTAGTAATTAATTTGGGTTTTCCCATGCTTGTTGATTTTACTTATAATTTGCGGAATGGAAAATATACTTATTTCAATGAGAAGATAAGTTAGAACTGCAAGAACATAATGGAGTATGGGGAAGAATGAATGGACAGTTACTTTGATAAATAAGATTTAAGGTATATGTGGTCTAATTGGTGAGTTTTAGTTATATGCGTGTGTCTATATATACACAGTATACACTGTGCTCCTCTTTATTTACCTTAGAGATTATTGTTCCATGTCAGTACATAGAAATCTGTCTCATTCTTTTTGAGAGCTGCATGGTTTTCCATTGTATGGATGTATCAGATATAGGCGTCTCTATTGATGGGCATTGGGTTATTTCCAGTCTTCTGCTACTACAAAAATGAAATAATTATCTTTTTACATACACTGTAGTGTACATGTATGATTACATCAGATCACTTTTAAATTGAGAAGGGAATGATTAAATCCTGTTTTGGTGAGGGGGCAAATTAATATTTTGGTGTTGTAAACGTTCTTATGTGAATAGTTAATTTCTAAAATATTTGAATTATAAGTTACCAATTTCTAAGTTGTAATCTCATTTAAACATAAAACAGTATAACATTTAAAATATTTTGGTTCTTCATAAAACTAATTACTGTTAATAATTCACAGGAAAATTACTGGTTACTTGTATGATTTATTAAACCCTGTCATAGCTATTAAAACTGACAGTTTTGATTTAGTCTTTTGTGCTATGAAGAGAAGGAAATGAAAACACTTTCACATTGCCAGAACAAAGTCAACTTTTTATTGTTTGCTATTCACCACAGTTTATAAAATAAATCTAGTAGGATGTATAAATGTACATATACTTTGGGTGTGTTTAGTAATAAAGCACATGTATCTTAAATCTTTGAGCTACTATCCACATAAGGCTGGAGGAAATTCTTTTATTATTTCATGTATTACCTAGACTAATTAATGTAGCTATCAAATACTTATGTTGTAGATTATCCAGCCCTATTCTGTTTCTCCTGCTGAGTTTACATTTTGACTGCCTCTCTGTATCCATGCTATAAGGGGTGTAGGGACATGTGATAGTAAAAGTCTTGTACCTCATATGAGTATTTTTGTCCTCATATGACCTCATTATTGGTTTTTATACCTGGCCCCCTAAGTCTTTTATGTAAGTTAATTATACTTAACTTTAGAGATGATAGGAAATTAAGTAAGATTTAAATTTCTTAAGCTCATAAGTAACTTCTGCTGTGTTCCATTTAGCACAGTGCCTTGGTAACCTAGCCAAGGATTTTATGCCTCCTAGTAGTTCTCGTCAGATCAGGAGCTGGAAGAATGAGGCCTACTTTTGACCAAATATAGGTCAGAAAGAATTGGTTTCAGCATTTGATAGGAAATTTAGGAGGGGAGGAGGTCTTGGAATCTCTCTGCAATCAATATGGAGCCTCAATTTCTTCAGGTAACAAAAGGCTGCACATAGATTTTGTTTTAGTGATAAAAATAACATTGTTCAAGTAGGAAATACGTTTATGAAAACTAGTATATGCTTTTTGACTATACATGCTCTTTCTCTTACCTAGCATTGCCATTTACAGAGTTAAATTTAATAAATTTGTTTTTAACAAAAGGTACTCATTAAGGTACTTGGGTAAATATGAAGGCATGAAAATGGAAGAAAAAAATGGCCATTGGTTTTTATTTGTTACTTTTTATAGTATATTTAAGGCTGCAGTATATTTAGAATTGATTACTTATTTTTGTCTACTAAATAGTAAAAGGATTGATGATTACTAGTGTTTTCTGGAAGATATATTGCTGTTACTTTTTTTTTAACTGTAGTGAGTAAAGCTAAATATAAGCTTTCAGAGCTGTATTAATACATATGTTAAATTAAGCAGGATTTAATCTGATTAATACTGAAATTATCATCATCTTTAAAACTTTCTGTATACTGATTCCTACATATTCTTCTTTCTTATACCTATTTTTCTTTTATTCCCGAGCTTGTGTTTTCTTTTTACAAGTTCTTTTAGTATCCTCTGACATTTTTTGTAACTTTTTTCAAAATACCTTATAATTATACTAGAGGCCCGGTGCACAAAATTCGTGCAGGGGGGCGGGGAAGAATGTCCCTCAACCGGCCTGCACCCTCTCCAATCTGGGACCCCTCAGGGAATGTCTGACTGCCAGTTTAGGCCTGATCTTGTCAGGCCTAAACCGGCAGTCGGACATCCCTCTCACAATCTGGGACCGCTGGCTCCCAACCACTCGCCTGCCTGCCTGCCTGCCTGATTGCCCCCTAACTGCTCCCCTGCCGGCGGAGCCGTGGGACCCCCAGGCCTCACTGTGTGGAGTGGCCGCCGGGCCCCTCCTCCGCTGTGTGCGCGGCCATCTTGTGACAACCTCGTGCTACGCCACCTAGACTTTTATTACATAGGATAATATTGCTGTAATTCTGAGGTACTACAGTGAAACTTGAGCATTCTGGTAGTTAGCATTTTGGTATAGCTTGGCTTCTCAAACGTCCACATTAGCAAAGGAACCAGAAAAAGATGCTAAGACCTTACTGGCAGTGAGTAAGTAGAAGCTCCAAAGCATTGAACAAAAGATATAGTCAGAAGAGCAAAAGATCTGAAGGTTAATCCAAAACACTGTTCTCTACTGGTTTGTCACATGTAAGGAAAGGAGTACTCAGACTGGCTGGTGGTCTCATCGCGCCATGTTTTTGTGAAAACTGGAAAGTATGGAAGAAGAGATAAGAAAGGAGAAAAGTGACAGGGAGGAAAGGGGCTACAGCAACCTTGATTGTTGGTGCAGGTATGGTTATTAGAAATAGCAATAAGATCGTTAAGTAGCCCATATTCCGACAGGCAAAAGGGTACCAGTGATAGATCAACTGTATTCTCTCATTAGCCAAAAATTAACTTGATGCTGTTGAAGGCTTGCAGTTCTCAACCTTCCTAATGCTGTGACCCTTTAATACAGTTCCTCATGTTGTGGTAACCCCCAATTTCATTGTTACAAATTGAACATAATTAAAGCATAGTGATTAATCACAAAAACAATATGTAATTATATATGTGTTTTCCGATGGTCTTAGGCGACCCCTGTGAAAGGGTCGTTCGATCCCCAGGTTGAGAACCGCTGGCTTAGGGTATCTCTAATGGGTGAAGGTAAATGGTATTGCCCATAGCAGATTAGGGAAAGGAAAAATAGTGACTATACTAGAGTTTGGGGAGTCTTAGGTGGGAGATCAGTGGACATGGAAGGAGGTAGAATGTGGGAAATGGGTACAGATGGGTACATCTCAGTAGCTCTTTGGGGAAGCACTCTGAATATGTCAATATATGTCAGTATTTTAGAAGGGCATTGAAAGTACGGTGAAAGCAGTATTTTATACTTCACAAAATCTGTAAGATTTATATCTCTACTATCATATAATTGCTTACTAGTGAGAATTATGACATTAAGGAAAATGTTGAATTATGTTTTCTAATACATCACCTTGTTAATGATGGTTAGACCTCTGATTATTTTCTCTTTAATTTTTTCTTCAATTTTATAATTGAGGGAAAGCATTCTTTGAAAAATTCTTTATACTCTGTTTTGAGATGTTGAGAAAGTGTATAGGACACCTTAGATTTGCACTAAAAGTAATTTAAAAAAGAATGTGAAATGTTTAAAGGGCCCATCTTCAGATCCTTGGAAACCCCTACTCTGTAAAATTTCTCAGAGTGACCTTTCTGGTATTTTCTGCCTCCTCTGGATGGATTGCAATCTCCCACCAAGCCATGTGTGTTACTTCTCAGCATATAGATTTACCATTGGAGCAGGGTGAATTTGGCAACAGAGGAAGATCTGTAACTCAGGATATCTTTTGTTTCCGTGGCCTATGCCAAATTTCCTGTCTTACTTAAGCACTTAAGCATTGTCTTGGGGGCTGTAGTGTTGTACACCGGATAGGTATAGGTAGTCAATTTAACATTATGGACTTTTTGCTCCCTCTTAGAACATTGATGATTATTTCTATAGGAGAAAAATCAATTAATGACTGTCAATTCTAATAAGTTAACCGTATTAAACTTGGAGTTGAAACAGGTCAACAAAGTATTATGGTCCTCCTAAGTATATTGTGAATTGTAGTTAGGCCCTTTTGATAAAGTACTTTTTTTGGTGTGATGCTTATTATGATTTACAATGGGAGAAATAAGCCATATTATCTTGTTCCTCCTGAGGAAAAATAAGAATAGTTAAGAGCATGGATAATCAATATGCAGTCAAGTAGTAAACTTTATATTCATTATAGTTTTTGTTGGTATTAGTTACAGATTTCCTGCAAAATTATAGATAGGTACTTGAGTTTTATGAGAATATGCTTAAAAGTTGATTGTCCACTATACTTCATAAGCACTGAGCTAAGTTGCAAATGATATTGACCTGAATCCATCAATTCCTATCCCAAGTAACTTCCATAGCTACCAAAGCCTTTTTCTTTTAAAATTTAAATTTATTGTAATAAAAAAAACTTTAAAAATGGATATGCAACCTGATTAAGAAATAATCAGGGTGAACTTGATGTAATGGCAGTTAAAGTGTCAGGGGTTAAATTAAATAGGTAATCGTCAGCATTTCTGGTTTCCTGCTGTCTTATTATTTAATATACTCAAAAACTTCTGGAACTTTTATCAGAGGCCGACAATGGTAAGCCTGTTTTCATACTTTCCCGAAGAGAACTTATAACTGCTTTTCTTTTAGGCAATTGTTGGCATTTTTTAAAATCTAAAATTAGTTGAAAATTATAAAGACAGAATAAATTTGCTAAATTAACATCAATGGACTTAATATAGCTATTCTATGTGTGAAGAATTCTTATCCAAAGGATGCTCTTTAATTTTCCTCAACTCCTTCTCCTTTCCTCCCTTTTGTTTTAAAAGAGAAACTGGTAGTCTGGGTAGATTCAAGACTTCGTTAAGAGAAAATGTATTGGGGAGCCCCAAAGAACTGATGAAGTTAAGTGTGCCATCATTAGTGTATGCTGTTCAGAACAACATGGCTTTCCTAGCTCTTAGCAACCTGGATGCAGCAGTGTACCAGGTAAGTGGAATAAATGATAATGGAGAGCAGAATCTTTAAAAATGTTTTTATGGTGAAATTATTTTTATTAACCCTTTATCACATTATCAAATGTTTTTCTCAATAATTCTATTAATGATATCAGAAATAGTGGTGTCCGAAATTAAGGTTAAGTTCATTAATTCATTATTTTATTTCTAGGTGACCTACCAATTGAAGATTCCTTGTACTGCTTTATGTACTGTTTTAATGTTAAACCGGACACTCAGCAAAGTACAGTGGATTTCAGTTTTTATGCTGTGTGGTGGAGTTATACTTGTACAGTGGAAACCAGCTCAAGCTACGAAAGTCATGGTAAGAAACAAAATGCTTACCATAACTAAAATAGAAAACTTCCTGTCTTATATACTTCAGTCACATTGATGAATACAGCACCATTATATTTCTTTGATTGAAAATATTTGCTCTATATATAGGCTTTTAAAATCCCGTTAGTGTATTACTAAGGATAATGTAATTTATTGGCTTTCTTTGTTTTTAGAGGGGAATATGCATAAATGTTTGAGATGGAAGGTTCTTTAATGTTATGGATGTCAAAACTGAAGTCCAAAGAGGTGAAGTAACCTGTAACTAAAATTGTGACCAAAGTGTGTATGTTCAGAACTTTTAAGCCTCGTTAAGACATTTTCTCAGAAACACTGGGCAAGGTTTTGTCCATCTAGTTTTCATTTCTCTGTACCCCCAACTTCACAGTTTTTTTATCCCCCTTTTTAAAATCCTTACCTGAGGATATGTATATTGATTTTAGAACGTGAGGAAGGGCTGGGGGGAGAGAAACAATCGATTGCCTATCATGTGCACTAGACTGGGGATCAAACCCCGAACCTAGGTATGTGTCCTGACTGGGAATAGAACCTGAAACCTTTCTGGTGTATGAGATGGCACTTGAACCAACTAAGCCACCCAGCCGGGGCAGTTTTTTATCCTTCTGCACATACTCCCACTGTCAGTCATAGAGATTAAAGGGTAGTGTTTTTACTGATAATTGATAACTAAAATAGGGCAGAATGTGTACTTTACTTACAACTTTTAGTTTGCTAAGAGTTAAATGTTAAGGTACATACCTGAGTTTTTAAAAATGTTATACGCTTTAATCAGTTATTTTCTTAAAGAGCTGTAGGAAGTGGAACTCCAGTGAATGACTTTCTGAAAGTCATTAGTTTCTTTCTACAACGGAAGACTCTTCAACTTTTAATAAATGAAAGTTCTTTTAGGAATTTAGGGCAGCTGGGGATGTAAGGAGAGCCTGTAAAAACAGGAAGTCAGTTCCTTTTTAGGTAGTTCCTTTCTAGTCTAGAGGAGATTTCTCCCCCGCCCCTCCCACAAGAAAATGAGTTTTAGATGAATATTTATTGTCTTCACATGTTTAAACATGCTCATATTCTTGGTGACATTTCAAAACACTGATCAACCATGCACTGCATATTGAACTCAGTTGTAGACTTTCAAAGAAATTTGTTGGGAAATAGGCCAATATGTAATTAAAAGTTAAATGCGAACTTTAATACCTCACACCATTAGAAAAGATGTTAGGTCCACCTCACATAGGTAATGTATGTGAAAAGTTTAGTAAACTAAAGCAGAGTTTAGGGCAGCTTATCCTACTTTTGGATCCCTCTAGAGCAGCAATTTTCAACCAGTGCCACAAGAATTTTTAAAACATGCAATACCTGACTATTCAGTCAGGGGTACTGACCTCTTTACCTAAGATTTTGAAATTAAAAACAAAACAAAACAAAAAAACAAGACAACAGCCAACACAACCATAGCTGTCTGGTGTGAGTGAATCAAAATATTATTTTGTCAGATCTGCAAAAGTTATGTTTTTTTGGTGTGATTTGGAATTTTAGTAGTTTATGTGTGCCATGAGATGAAAAAGGTTGAAAATCGCTGCTCTAGAAAGTTCTTTTTTACTTAAAACAGGGTACAGCTTCCTGTAACTGCCTCATTGTTCTTCGTTCTTGTCAGAATAACTCAAATTCCTACTATCTCCCATAATACCCTCTGAATGTTTGAGGGCAGTGTCACATCCTTCCTCTCCAAGTCTTTTTTCCTCATTGAGACAACCTTGTGGCTTCTTTCTAGAATTTGGTTTCTAGAGACTTCCCGATTCCTGCCTCCTGCCCCAGTACTTCCCTGTATTTCTCTTCTAGATGTATTCATCTGTTACCGTTCCTCGTTATGTCCTAAAACTTTACACTATCTCTAGATGTTGACTGAGCAGTGTGAGATGTAACTTGCTAATTAACTTTGTTCTAAATACTAGAGACTTGTTAAATCAAGATTATATTTGTGTTTTTTTTGGGGGGGGTATCCATTCTATAACTGGTTATAGCTATATGTCTTTATCTCTATTTGTATTATTTCAAGAGTTAGGACTATAGAATAGCCGTGTCTAATATGGCAAATACTTTAAGTAAAACTGTAACACAAATTTTTGTGTTCATTTATTTGGTCTCTTGGATGAATTCTATTTATTACTCACTAAAAATAACTTAAAACATTATTATTGCAGGTGGAACAGAATCCATTTTTAGGGTTTGGCGCTATAGCTATTGCTGTATTGTGCTCAGGATTTGCAGGTAAATCATAAAGGCATTTTACTGTTACCCAATTTTAAAAATATCAAGCTTTAAATAGGGATTTAGTTTATCTTGTTTTATTATAACATTTTATTTCCATTAAAGCTTACCTATAGTTTAGTTTATGTCAGCTATTTTTCCAATAAATATATGGTAGTGTTTAACTCAGTTCAGACCTCAGTCTTTACTCATACTTGCAGTTCTTTAAGAATATACTTGTTCTTGACCATTCTTAGTCCAGCCCAGTATTTGTTTTTCCCTCGTAACTTCAAGTTCTTCCTCTGCTTCAACAGGGAGAAAAAAGGGGTGGGGTGGAGGGTATCAGAACACTTAATACATAAAGTAACAGCCAAAAACGGAGGGACAAGAATCAAAATCACTAACATCAAATAAAAAAATCTGGGGCCCGGCCAGCGTGGCTCAGTGGTTGAGCGTAGACCTGCGAAACAAGAAATCTGGAATTGTGTAGAGACAGCCATTCTGCACTCAATGAAGAGACAGTATATGAATGTGTAACATAAGAAATAAAATGTGTTTTAGAGATAGTTCTTTCTGGTAAAAAGTATATTAGTTATAGCTATATGACTTTACTTCTATTTGTGTTATTTCAAGAGTTTGGACTCTGCTTTTTCTTTTGACTAGGAAAGTAAGCTGGATATGGAAGTGAAATATTGATTATAAAAAAAGATGTTTGATGAGAGGGGAATATCTAAATTTGGGAACATACCTAATGATAGCATCATGCTAAACTTTTCTTCTTAGTAATGAGCAAATTAGAAACAAAATTGTGTTGCCCCCCACCCCAAATAATATACTATTTGATTTTTAAGCATTACTTCGAACAATTAAATGTTTGTGTCCAACATTCTATCTAGTTAGTTCAATTTCTTAATAAACAGTTGAAGAAATGGTGAGTGGCTTACTATCCCTCTATACTGGAATAACTGAGCACTCACTAGTTAAGTGGTTTTCCCAGATAGGAAATTCATAGATGGAAATTATATGTTTTTCCCCATTTTCTGGCTCTTCCCAATACATGTTTGTCAAAATCAATCTTGTTTTTCATTAGAATTTTTAGTGGATTAGTACTTCAGTGGCGATTTCTAAATCTCTAATTCACATGGTATTTATAATTAAAATCTTCAATATCTTTGTTAAATGTGTTCATTTCAAGAGTAAAACTTACAGTAGTGATTGGGGGTGGATGGGGAGGTGTCATGCACTCTTTTAGAGTATCTGAAAAAAGCTGTGGTCGTCCCAAACACAGAAAAATGCAGAGTTCTTGGTCCTTCTGACATTGTGTATGAATGTGGCTTGGGGAGCCTTGCTTTAAAGGCAAATGGCTCCACTCAGCAAGTTCTATTAAAATTTCATTTTGGTTGTGTTACTTACTCTGAAAAAATCCCCAGTGGTGATTATACAGGTTACTTTGCAAAGCTGGGAATATTCACTAATAGGCAGATTTTATAAGGATGTGATTACGATAATTGACTCTAATAGTATAGTTTTCCAGCTGACCAAAGCAAGTCTTTTTATTAGCATTAATAGAGTTTTGTGATGTATCTTACTGCTATAATAATGGCAGAAACTGTTCTTAACAGTAATTTAGAGTCCTGTTAAATGCGAGTTAGGAAGTTCTTTTTAAGTTAATTTCTAATAATATCTTTGTCTCATATTTGCATGTCTAATTTTCTTTTAGGAGTGTACTTTGAAAAAGTTTTAAAGAGTTCAGACACTTCCCTTTGGGTGAGAAACATTCAAATGTATCTATCAGGGATTGTTGTGACATTAGTTGGCGTCTACTTGTCAGATGGAGCTGAAATTAAAGAAAAAGGATTTTTCTATGGTTACACATATTATGTCTGGTTTGTCATCTGTAAGTATCCAGGAATCAAAGGTTCTGGGTAGACCCTTTAAAAAAAAAAAAAGAGTCAGATGTCTATTTAAAGCGTTTTTAGCATTTTAAAGTTGTTCCTTTATATTGTGAACACTAGTTTGAAACTGTAATTTTGGTTTTATTGACTTAATTTTGTGGCATAGCTGTACCAGAGCAATCTTGCTTTCTTAATCAGAATTATCTAATGTGTTAGCAATAAATGTGTACAATTTAGTAGTGGACCACATAGCCCTTTGGGCATCTGAAAAACAGTTTTGTAGGAACTATTGCTGAATTTTAATATAACTCTCTCAGGTGGCTGCTTCTAAGGAAAATAGCATGGCACCTTTGAGGATGAAAATTTCCTTACCATCATAGAATGTTTCATTTATTAGCATGTTAACATTTTCTTTCTTTCTATATACAAGTTCTCGCAAGTGTTGGAGGCCTCTACACTTCTGTTGTGGTCAAGTACACAGACAACATCATGAAAGGCTTTTCTGCAGCAGCAGCCATTGTTCTTTCTACCATTGCTTCAGTGCTGCTGTTTGGATTACAGATAAGTATGTCTTAGTTTGTATTTTCAAGTTTTTAACATGGAAAAGCCTCTCATTTCCTTGATTTGTCTTTTAAATGTGGCATGGTCATGGTGTTTTACAGAAATTCCTAGTTTCGTTATAATTTATTCTACAAGTGCTGCAGTTCATAGTTGTGTGGAATATGGGTCAGCAGTACTTAGGTGTTTTTAAATAGTTCTAGAGCTTAAGCTGAGGGGTGCTCATTCTGTATGAAAGTGAGGGGGCTACTGTTAAGCTTTTTTACAGGCAAGACCTCCCAATTCCCCAGATATTAGATAAGACAACTTAAGTGCTTCAGGGAGAATATACTATGATGAGATACATGAGGAAATAAGTATAAGGACTTTAGGATTTATTACTTTCAGCAGTAGAATTAGAATAAGCAAGGCTTTTTGAGTAAAGAACAAATTCTTTCATTTCCCCCTTAGTTTGTACCTTCCTAATTGTTTTGGACTTGGGTGCAAACTGGTTTTGAAATTACAATTCAAATCTAAATGTTCTATTCTCTTTTATAAAGATATCTTTGTTTCATTTAATATGTAACTGATATGAAATTCATTACTATAGGACTATGCTAGTCCTTTTAATACAGTTGTCCCTAGCCCACACCCAGCATTAAGTTGGGTTTCTTATTTAAGCAGTGATGCTGACTTAACATTTAAGGGGGTTTTATGCTGTAATAATAATTTTATTTAGTAATACATGAGGAAAATTTGTCAAATATCAACACTGAAAAGAAACATGTTTATATTTCATTTAAAAATTGACTCCTGTTATAAATGCAAGTAGAGGAATACCAACCTTGTAGACATCTTAGAAAACTATTTTATAGTACTAGAGGCCCAGTGCTCGAAATTGGTGCACTGGGTGGTGGTGGGGAGGAGAGAGTCCCTTAGCCTGGCCTGTGCCCTCCACAGTGCAGGAGCCCTGTGATTGATCGTTGATCGCCCCAAAGAGGTAGGCCCTGCCCATCCGGCCAGGGCCCTTTGATCGATTGCCCCAAAGAGGGAGGCCCACCAACCCGGCTGGAGCTCCATAATGGATCACCACTGCAGAGGGCAGCCCCGCTGCAGTGCCGCCTGGGCCTCCCTCTTTGAGGTGATAGATTGTGCCCCGCAGAGGGAGGCCCAGCCTACCTGCCGAAGCCCGCCAGTTGGTGGCCTGGGCCTCTCTCTTTGGGGTGATCATGGAGCTCCCCGATTGATTGTTCCGGTGGCCTGGGCCTCCTTCTGCAGGGTGTTTGTGGGGCAATGGCCGGGCCCCCAACCAATCACATTGCACCTGCCTTGGCTGGCCTGGTGTCATAGGGTGGTCGTCCGGAAGGTTCTGCTGTTCAGTTGTTCGGTCGATTTGCATATTACGCTTTTATTATTGATGGCTCAAATTTTGCCTGTGCCATTTATTAACTGTACAACCTTGCGGAAATTATTAACCTGTGTCTCAGTTTCTTCATATGTAAAACGGGAATGGTAATAGCACCTACCTCCTAGGGTTGTTTCAGGTAAAGTTACTTACTACGTGACAGGCACTATTCTAAGGCCAACCATTTAAGTGTCAGGTATAGGCCCTCCTTTAGATATTTTTCTTACCTGATTTGGGTGAACTTTTAATTGAAGTTCTGATCCATCCTTATGCTCAACAAATCCTTATGACTTTGCTCCTAAATAATACAGTGGGGCCTTGACTTACGAGTTTAATTAGTTCCGAGACTGAGCTCGTTAACTCAAATTACTCTATCAACTCAATGCAAAAAATCGGCTGAGAGACAGCTGGTATCTCAAAAAACTCGTTAGTCGGGACACTCGTAAATCAAGGCCCCACTGTACTTGGGAACAGTATAAAATGGCTTTGGTCAATGTTCTGTGTTAGACTGTCTTAGCAATCTTCCAGTTTCTTATTTACTAGAGGCCCAGTGCATGGATTCGTGCACCGGTGGGATCCCTCGGCCTGGCCTGCTGGCATCGGGCTGAAACCAGCTCTCCAACATCCCCCGAGGAGTCCTGGCAGGCCAGGCCGAGGGACCCCACCGGTGCAGGATTGGGGCCGGCCGGGGGTGGGGGAACTGAGGAGGGCTCTAGGGCGTGTCCAGCACTTCTTGCCCAGTCCTGATCGGCCAGATCCCAGCAGCAAGCTAACCTACTGGTTGGAGCATCTGCCCTCTAGTGGTCAGTGCGCATCATAGAGACTGGTCAAACGGTTGGACACTTAGCATATTAGGCTTTTATTATATAGGATTTTCATTCCCCTTTTTTGAAGGTAAAGCTAGTCTTTTCTGGTTAGGGTTGAACTAAAATCATAGCTTGATGGCATTTCTTTACATGCCATTTTGTAAGCTGTTAAGATTGTACTCTATATAGAATGGAGTATACAGTTTTGACATAGCATTTATTTATAAAGTGACTACTGGTCAAGTTTAGACAAGTTGTAATTCAGTGGTGTCCTGATTTTTAGGATTAAGATGATAAAAAAACACAAGGCTAGCAGAAAATGGAATTTTACTTAGTAAATCACCACTTCTCCTATTTAGAAATCTTCAGTAGATTTAATTATTGGTTACTTAACTACCTTTGCTCTAAATTTGCACAGGTTTCTAGTATCATGAAAAGTACACTCCACTGCTCTTTATTTCAGTCAGTGTAGAGGGAAGTTAGTATGTTCTTTGTCAGTGGTTCAGGATAGGCATACTTGTATTCTGAAAAGTGTATGTATACAGTCACTCTGTTGGTCTTTCTAAACCTTATAATCATAGAAACAGATTTACGTATTACATATTTACATTCCATTTTAAAATTGACTCTTGTCATAAATGCAAATAGAGGAATGGTGTGAACCCATAATTGAAAGTCTTTAAAATTCTAAACCAATCATTTGTTATATTAGTTTTACAGACACAATACAAATTAAGCTTATTTTGTTTCCCTTTCAGCACTCACCTTTGCTCTGGGTACTCTTCTCGTATGTATTTCTATTTATTTCTATGGATTACCCAGACAAGATACTACATCCATCCAACAAGGAGAAACAGCCTCAAAAGGAAGAGCCAGTGGTGTGTAATTTCAGCCTCAAAGGAGATTCCTACTAAGATTGAAACCATTTGCATTAAACTAGAGCCTTAAGTCAACCCCAGAAGGTAGCTTAAACAAAGAATAACAAATTAACTATGTGGTATAAGAATTAAGAAGAAAGCTATCTTGAGTGAATTGCTACCAAGATTTAATGTGACCTGTTTGGGGTCAACCCATTTTGTTTTAGAATGAATTTTTTTATTGTATATATAATGTATATAAAAGTATGGAGATAATCATGTGAGGCTATAATATTCAAATAATAAGGTTTGGGACAATGTTAAAGGTTAAAGTGCCAAAGCCATTTCTGTACTAACTGTTGTCTTGTTCAGGTACCAGGGGAGAAGGATGGCCCCTCCTTGTTCCCCAATTCATGTACAGTATTTTGTTCCAGCAGCAGTAAAGACCTAACTCTTTTCTTACAAGAGAGACAAAAACAAGACAGGCTAGTCAGAAACAAACTGAATGTGGAACTTCTCAAACTGAATATTTCATAACTCAAGACAATGATTTCCGGGTGGTGACTGAATACTCCTGTAAGTGCTGTATTTGTGCCATTTATTGTATGGATTCATATTTCTTTGCTGTTAGATGATATACTTTTCTCCAAAAAATATTTCTACTGTCTTTTGTACTTTTTTTTATAAAATATGTTTAGCTGTGGGGCTCTCAATAATTTATGAAATTGTTTTTTTAAAAAATTTTATATGAATAGGGAAATTCAGCAATAAACTTTATATGAAATCTGTTTGATCACTTTTTGTATTATAGCTATACCATTAAGGTAATGCAAAAACATAAACCCCAAACATTACATTTAAATTTTCTCTATGTTGAAATTGTATTAGTTAGTGTTCTTTGGTTGCGAATAGTAGCTATAAACCAACTATGACTAAAGATGGTATACCATACTTGCTAATATAAAACTATATTCATTCAACTAAGAAGTTTGGTTCATGCTAATTTCCCCCTCGGGTTCGTAAAATTAGATAGTCACTGATATTGATACTAGAGAAGACTTCTAGTAGCAACATTTAAAATAAATTACAGCAGTCCCAAATGGAAATGCTGGCAGCCATACTGATCAAACAGATCACATGTTAACCTAAACAATCACACAAAACATACTTTACCAATATGCAGATACGTGAAGTAAACGATTTATGTACAAGTAATTTCTTGTTATTCAATGTATCCAGTTCCCGAGTTCATGTAGTAAGTTACCTGTATATGTATCAACAAAAAGATAAACACGAGATCTGTTCTCTGGGTGTTATCAGCTATATTGGCAAAAGGGTGTAATACTAGTCTCTCTAAATTTTTTCAGACTAGTCATAATTATAACAAATTTGATGTAAACATTAGGTAATCTTAGTTGGTTATAAGAATAGTTTTTGGCCCTAGCCGGTTTGGCTCAGTGGATAGAGCGTCAGCCTGCAGACTGAAGGGTCCCAGGTTCGATTCCGGTCAAGGCATGTACCTTGGTTGTGGGCACATCCCCAGTAGGAGATGTGCAGGAGGCAGCTGATGGATGTTTCTCTCCCATCAATGTTTCTGACTCTATCCCTCTCCCTTCCTCTCTGTAAAAAGTCAATAAAATATATATATTTTTTTTTTAAAAAAGAATAGTTTCTGGAGGAATGACATTGTGAGAAACCTCAAAGTAGAATTTAAACTCTAACCCTTAATTCCCGTTAGACCACAATGCATTGAAAAGATTTAAATGAATTTTATAAAAGTCTATTTAATACTTAATGACCATGAGATTTCTTTTTAAGGATTAAGATTTAATCAGTTGATAAATCACTTATAGACTTAATATATAGATTCTGACACAGAATAATAAAATTCTAAACAGCAAGGCATATAAGAATAGATAACTAGAATTAATTAGTATTTAAAAAGCCATTTTCATTGGAAATTACATCCTACATACAGGTGTTATTCCAAGAAGTTTCATTCCATTGGCTAGGACAGAACGGACAGCTCTGAAAAGATGAAGTCTGGCCTGCAAAATAAATCAAAGAATGATTAAATGTTTAATAATAGGCTAACTATAAAATGAATAAGAATGTTTTTAAGAATAAATTTAACTTTCTTCTAAGTACAAACAATATCTGAAAAGTTCCCTGGGGTTTGCTGTAGGCAAGGGAATACAAATTCCTAGAATCCCTAACAGTAACACTGGTACCCAAGGGTTGGGGAGTGAGTGACAGTATCATCATACAGCACAGATTCAAAAAGGGAACCCATCTCTGTAACACTTTATGTAGGAAAATCTACTTCATAGTTTAGTATGTTGGAAAGTAGATAAATGTTGATTGTTACAACCCAATTCTAATTATTAAGTACATTGCTGTAGTTGAACAATTGGATACTATTTTAGAAACATTTGCAAGACTGACTCCGTAATATTAGTCTGGGGAAGCTAGAGATTATACACAAAACACTCAGTGTAACATACCCCAGCCACTTCAGGAGGACTCTGTTTTATGGGCAGTGTTCTGTGTGCCACAGCTGCAAGGTGACTGAAAAGAGAAATCCTGATCAGGACCAGTAGTAATAGCCTGTTGTAACATATAAGCCTGATATCTAATCTTACTTCCTCAATTTAAAGATTAAAAAAAAAAATCAAAGCCTATATACAACCATTAAAATGTATCAAAAGTTGAAGGTCCTGGCTGGGTAGTTTAGTTGGTTAGAGCATCATCCCGAGATGCCAAGGTTTTGGGAAACAAGCAACTAATGAATGCATAAATACACTGAGTGGCCAGATTATTATGACCACCCCATCAGTACTTCGTTGGGCCACCTTTTGCCTTCAATACTGCGGCGATTCTTGGCATTGACTCCATGAGATGTTGAAAGGTGATGCGAGGAATCTGACACCATGCCTGATGAATAGCACTGTCAAGTTCTATGAGATTTGATGGTTGTGGAACCAGCTGCCTGATGACTCTTTTAACTTCATTCCACAAATGCTCAATTGGATTGAGATCTGGTGATTGTGGGGGCCACCTAAGCAAGGTAAAGTCTCCCTTATGTTCTTGAAACCACTCCTGCACAATACGAGCACCGTGGCATGGCGCATTGTCTTGTTGGAAGAAGCCATCTCCATTGGGATACGCCATCAACATGATAGGATGAACTTGATCAGCAACGATACTTAGGTATGTTATGATATTCAGACGTTGTTCCACACGTATTAAAGGCCCAAATCATGCCAGGAAAACATGCCCCAAACCATAACACTGCCCCCACCAGCTTGAAGGGTTGTACTCATGCATGTGGAGTGCATGCTTTCAAGCTGTTTCCGCCAAATTCTCACTCTGCCATCTGCATGATGCATCTGCATGATTCATCGGACCACATGACTTTTTCCAATGCTCAACTGTCCAATCTTTGTGTTCCTGTGTGAATTGGAGACGTTTTATCTTGGTAACTGCAGACAGCAAAGATATTTGAACAAAAGGTGTTCACAGGCCTTCGGCTTCCACATCCCATACGATGCAGTGTACACCTAATTTGCCTACAAACATCAGGTGGTCATAATAACCTGGCCACTCAGTGTAAGGGTAACAACAAATCCATCTCTCCTCTCCCCCTCCCTCCCTCTCTCTCTGAAAAAAGATGATGGTTTCATTATTAGTTTTATAAGTATAGCAGACCCCTTTCTAATGAGCTTTTCCTCATTAGGCTTCCTTTATGGTCTGGCCTTTCCCCCTCTGTATGGTGAAGAGGTCAGGTAGAGACTAGTTATGAGTGCACTCTGCACACATACCGGTCACTCATCTTTAAAACATTTTTCCTATTTAGGTAAGGCAGCAATTACAGCAGTGTACCAGAGAAATGATGCTTATGACATTTGTTTCAATGATTAAGTGGCATTTAATAAGACTTTCTGGCTTCTTCATTTCTATATGCCTAAGTGGATTTTAAAGGAAAAAATTATTTAAATCTAGGGAAGACAAAATAAAAAGCATAATTAAGAGAACAGTCCCAATAAATCTTTGGTTTCAATAAGTCTTGAGTAAAAGCAAATATTTCTTAAATAGCTTTACGGGGAGACAGTTATCACTCAGAAGACAGATCAAATAGTCAAGTTTCTAAAATGGCTACCATGAAATGCCTATCATAGAGTGTCACTGACTTGCTTCTCAATTCATTCTTGCCCTCTAGCTGATATTTCTATGCCCCTGCTTAAAGCCTTTTTGTGGACCCTGCTGCCCTGAAAATAAGATGAAATGCCTTAGTACATGGCAGAAATGCTTCATCTGACCCCGCCCAGGACTATGCTGATCGTTCCTTTAATGATCATGTTCTTGCTTAATTCTGGGCTTTCTCCTCCTCCTTGCTTCTCCTACTTAATATCTACTCCTTTCCTCTGAAAAGCCCTCTCTGATCCCTCAAGGCTGGGCTGAGTGCCCTGACATTTTCTCTCACATCCACTCTAGCCTAACACATACGCACTGTTCTGTAACCTCCTATGAGGCTGCTGTTTCCTGTTCACTTGACTGAGTGAATAGATGAACATTGATTGCTAATTTGCAAAGATGAAGCAAGAATTCCTGTAACTTAAAGCGCATAATATTTTTAGGCCAAAGGATTTATTTATAGGAACACTTCAGATGAAGGAAAGGTCCTTTGTCAGATCAGGCCTCAGCTGTCTGGTTACACCTGAAAATAACAAGATTATGAAAGTACCTTAGAGTTAGAAGATAGCTGACAATGTGCCTGGGTTGAAGGTCCTGAGATGATCTATAAAGCACTTCGTCAAACCTAAAAGAAAGATGACAGGAGCAACTGTCAGGGGAAGACTGTGCACATGTTACACTACGCTAAGCTGTTAAGACAGATATCTAAGATGTAAGGTTGACTTGACATCACTAAGGGTAGGAGGTATATGAAAAAAGACCTGTGTACAGTTGAAGGTAAGGGCACATTTTTCTCTCACAAATTTCTGGATGGCAGGCACTTTCTAAATCATCTTTTCCTTAGGCCTACTTCAGCATAAGGACTCAACCATGGCTGTTAAACTGAATGTAAAAGCTGCTTAGTGATGTTTATGGACATAATCTAGAAACAAGCAAACAGTGTCTACCCTCAATGCCAAGAAATCCAAGTTGGCTTATTTTTCCTCATAAACTAGGTCCTTTTGATCCCAGGAAAGAATCACTGACTGCTGTGTGGCAATCAGACAAAACTGCCTTGTTAACCGTCCGCATCCCTGCTGGAGCCTGAGCTCTCCTCACAAGATTGGCTTCCCCAGTGATGCTGGAGAGAGCTCAAAGGTGCAGTCTCCTGCCCAGATGAGGGCATCAGACAGATGCATATTTGAAACTGTGACTTGAAACCAAGAGGCAAATGAAAGACTCAGGGAAGCTGTGTAAAGGCAAGGATTTTCCTTTACTTATCATAGAGGGTGAGAAGATGATCTTTTAAAAAATTACACAGTTATGCTTTTACCAGGGTTCACATTCTCATACTACCTAAAGGGTGGTAGGCGCTTAGGCTAATTCAGTGGTGGTAATATTTTTAAAACCTAATGACTATTCATTCATATGCCCTCCGTGTACCCTTAAAGGGCAATCACTTTTTAGTCTACCTTGAGGAAAATGTTGTCTAGAGGCAGGAGCTAGCTACTAACTAGCCTGTTCCCTCCAGTGGTTAGCAAACCACCAACAATCATTTTGTAACCAGACCCCACAGGTCAGGCCCTCTGCTTATCTCTGCAAGTTAGGTCCTCTG